CTTCTGCCCAGGAATTTCCTGGTTTTGCATGCATAAATATAATGTCTGGCATCTTCCCTCCAAATATTATCTAAATAAATTCTACAATTTATTAATTTCTAACATTCTCTAACTCTAGCAGTTGTGGGTGGTCTTGCACCCCCAAACTCTGTTACCCTAGATCTAGAAACAGTATTAAGGTGGTATAGTCCACATCCATTTATTTCTAGCTCATCAGAACACAGTTACATACACACAGTAAGGTAAAGGGACCCCTGACCATTAGGTCCAGTTGCAGACGACTCTGGGGTTGTAGCGCTCATCTTGCTCTATTGGCCGAGGGAGCCGGCGTACAGCTTCCAGGTCATGTGGCCAGCATGACTAAGCCGCTTCTGGCGAAACCAGAGCAGCGCACGGAAACGCCGTTTACCTTCCTGCCGGAGCGGTACCTATTTATCTACTTGCACACAGTAGTGGCTGGCATATATTGAACCTGGCAGGGCTGCTAAGAAACCAAGGGGGGCGTATAGCCATGAGACCACAGGGGTATGGTCAGTTGTTCTGGTTTGCTTCCCATCTGCCCCCCCCCCGATTTTTTAAAAGATATATACATTATAGATACTGTGGACACTTTTACCCTCACCAGTATCCTGTAAAGTAAATCATAGTGCATTTTTCACAAAAAAATAAAAAAGAACAGCAGCAGAACCTTGAAGACCAATGGATTGTGGCATAAGATTTCTTGAGCTACAGTCAACTTCACCAGCTCCATCATTCTTGGAAATCAATGAAAACATATGTAATAATACTATTGTGAGTTGGGGGGGGGGGATTCTATTGTTGAATTAGCCAGGCTAGCTTATTGGTAATGGCCCCAGTTACTGGGTTGTGAGAAAGACAAAGGCCAGACTAGTGTGTAAGAGAACTGGGCTAGAAGGCGGCAGAAGTCTGAGAGTGAGAGCCATGCTTGATTACTGCTTGAATCCAAGGCTATGGCAAGACTATTGGCAAAACCTATTGGTGTTTCGCAACTTTCTGACTAGTTGCAGGACCTTAGCCAGACCTAGCAGAAGTAAACGCAGAGTTCACGAAAGCAATTGGCAACTTGGCTGCAGACAGGATGGACGAAGCAGGAACCAGGAACTTGTAGTTAGGTGTTTATTATATACAGTGGACTATTTACAGGAACAGAACAGAACACAGATCTTTAGCTAACTCTCTCATACATGACTCACAACTCTTAACCTCCAACTCCTACACTGACACACTGAACTAACAGTTAGTAGGCCATTAATTATCACTCCCTTGAGAGAGATTGACCAATCATGGAGCTGTCTCCATGCCTCTGTATCACCAGGCAGACTTACTCCTTCACATGACCTTTTGGCTGTCTGCCAAACCTTAATTGACTCTGTGTGATTAGCTGCACATATTCAGATTCCCAACAAAGACTTTCTGAGGTGTTAATGCTGTGAGCCCCTCCACCATTGGCTCAGGTGTATATACACGTAAATAAACCATATATCACAGTCTTCATTGCCCCACATTCCAAGGAAACTGGACCCTGAGTAAGCGCTTGGAACCCCTGGAATCTTGGACGGCTCAAAGATTCGGGTGGCATGCAACAATGCATTTGCCAGCCTTTAAAGCACTGTTCCCCCATCCCTGCTGTAAACACAATTAACTGGCTACCTCTTTGAGTGAAAGCATACCAGAGTAATATGCCCAATACTGCCTAATAAGGAGGAATTTTAAATTAGGTCTCCAGATCTTTTGGTGCAGCTGCCTAAAAAAAAGAAATGAAAAGATGTAAATGCAAGACTTTTGCCAATTGCCTTAAAGAGAAGGAAAATGTACTGACATTATTAGGAATGATGAGCTTCAGAAATAAATGACGTTAGTATGCACAGGGTGCACCTTTTTCACCAATATGGTCTCTGTTTGTTTTTAGTAGGATGATTCCACAACTGCCACTGCTGGTCAAAAAAATAAAATAAATGCATCCCAGCATAACGTTTTGCTGCTTCAGGATTAGCAAACACATTTTCAAAACACACAATGTAAGTCCTCCAACTATCCCCATTCATAAAAGCAAATTGTCTTAGTAAAAAAAACCATTTGATTTTACAAACAAGACACTTGCAGTGTGTCCAGTGGGGGTCACTCATTCAGAAAGACAGTGAGAGAAAAAGAAGCAGACAGGGAACAAACACTCTTGAGGCTGGCTGCATAGGTGTGGTCTTTCAAGAAAACAGCTCTGAGCATCCTCAGAACACAAGTCAAATTGGCTCCTGGGTTTACCTACTAACAGACTTGGTAAGGTTAGAATCCATGGCTGGATTGTCAGCACAAAATCAGGAGGGAGGGGGAAACTGCTTAACCAGAGCTAAGAGCCAGTAGCTCTGATAAGATAAAAAAAATTACAATCACATAGTTTTTCTGCCTGGAGACAGATGGGTGGGACATCCTGGCCACAGCAATACTCTTGGATTGAGATTGGCTGAGTGGTGCAGAGAGCTGATAGGCCAGAGCATGGGAAACTGACAAAAATAGCCCCTCTCAGTTAAAATGGATTACAGAAGGATGTGTGGGATAAGAGTACAGCTTTGAGATCTTTTGCAGGGAGGGGGACAAAAATAATTTTACTTGGTAGGGCTGAGCCCTGTTTTTTTTAAAACATATTTTTCATTAAAGATTTCTTGGTTTACAAAAGTATGTGCAATGTCTCTTTTTTCAAGTTACATTTTCTACAGAACAGTTTCATTTGTTGAGACATTAGTGTTACATTAGGAAGAAAAGGGGGAAAGAGGTGGAAGGGAGCATGGTGAGTGGGGTTAGGGTTGCTGCTATTCTACTTAGTGTGTGTGTGCGGTTTTGTGTCAGTGTCACTTGTGCGGGTTCTCTTTACTATTTGCTTGTGTTTCTTTGATTGTGAGAGAAGTTGGGGTTGGCCTAGGGTGTAGCTGTTTGTTTGTGATTGGCTGTGGTGAACTTTGTTTTCATGTGTGAGTGAGTGGGTGTTTTTGGATCAGGTTAGCCATATTGATCCACTTTCACAGAATTACGATTCCAATTGATGCCCTCGGCAGTGTTGGATGGACGCTACGGCAAAGTACATTATGAAGATAGACTTTGTCTGTGTGGGCAACCCTGTGTGGAGGACCTGTGCCACTATTTATTGCTGTGCCCGTTATATATAGACCCAAGAGACAGATTCATAAAACCCCTGTTTCCGAATGGAACTCACTTGAATAGGGTGGAAAGGGTGAAATGGCTGCTGAGCGATACTGATGACTTTGTAGCTTATAAAGTAGCACTCTGTGCATTGGCAGCTAAGAAGATCAGGAGGAAAAAACTAGATAAAATAGTGGTCAACTGCAAAGAGGATTCAGATATATAATTTGGCACATTTTACTAGAGAATCTTCTGCTATTCTACTTTATGCAACAAACCATCTTAGTAGTTGCGACCATGGTTTATATTGCATGTGTGGTGCCTGATGATTTTTATGGTTATTGCTGTTATTCCTTTTGTTATTTTTCTGAATGATGCCATGGCCTATGGCTAGCGCAATAAAAGTCTGTGATGATGATTCGTATGCTGTTGGCGGATTCTTGTCGTTGTCTTGTTGGGCTGTGTATGTGATAAAGGGGAGCCATACTGGGGTGAAGGCATCTTCTCCTATTTGTCCCCATGTCAGTTTCAGTTTATTGGCTAGTTTTTCCATTTAGGCTGTTTCCCATAATATTTGATACCATGGGCTGAGCCCTGGTTGTCTTACCATACCAGTGCCCATAAGTACTTCCTGCATTTGAGGGGGGGGGGTGTCCCTGCCTCTCCTATATATTTCCTAGGGAAATTATAACTCATGTAACAAACAGTGAGTGTAGTGACTAAGAGGCTGAGCAATGAACAAGGAATTTAGTAGTCTGAGTATCCCCTCTTGCATGAAAACTCAGCAGCTGCCCTTAGGCAAACCACTTTCTCTGCTCCTCAGCTTGTCATCTGCAATATGAAGATAATAATACTGACCTACCTTACTAGGCTATTGTAGTAAGTACAATATAATTTATGTGGAGTACTCGGAACACACACACACTGTATATGTGCTAAGTCTTATTAACAGTATTATCACCAACGGTATACTAACAACAGCACTTGCATCAATTACATTATCCCCCAGCTGAAGTGCATCAGCTGTTAAAGTTGCTGGGGCTCCTTACAGGTGAGACGCCTGCGGCAATTATTCACCTCATTGCTCGCCCTCCCACAAAGCTTACCAAAGTGACATATGCTTAAAAGAAATGCAAAGGAATGATTTAGGGCTCCTGAACTTGGTGATACAGTCTAGGTTCAAAGCTCTTCCTCCAAGAAGTAAGGAGCAGAAGGGACTAAAGATGGAGTCAGGCTGTTAGCAAAGGTGCCAGAGCAACTCACAGAAACCACTGATCTTTGTTGCAAACATGCTTCCTTATAGGAATAACGCACTTGAGCTGGTCTATGGAGGGTATTCCCTTACCTGAGCTTTTGCCCATGGGTACACTGTCCCAACACTCACAATTAATTCTATAACAGGAAACTGTCCAGTTATCATTTGCACCAGGCAAAAACACTCCTCTCCTCCCAGGCCTTTGGCTAATTAGGCAATCTATAGCCTTTTAAAATGTGTCGGGGCAGGGAGTGTTATCATTCTGTTTGTTACTATGTCTTTTTATAATGCAAACCGCCCTGTGATCCTTGGACGAAGGGCAGTATAGAAAGTTAATAAATAATCATAAATCCTGTTTGCATCAAGCTGCCATTTGTAGGATATTGTCCCTACATCCTCCCAGCATGGTGATCTTTGATGAAAGAGTAAGCACCCCTTGTCACAAAATGGACTACAACTCTCATCATCCAGACTGGCTGGGGCAGATGGGATTTGGAGTCCACGCACAGCTACAGGGCCACAGGTGCCCCATCCCTGCAAAATGAAAAAAAGGGGGGAAAGTAATTGAGATACGTAGGGATGTGGCAAGCAGATGCCCGAGGCTGGAAGACAGAACCTCGTCCGGGGTGGCTCACCGCTCCGAAGCCACAGAAGGAAGTTTCGAAAAGCGGGGCGGGCGCTCATCAGTCACTGCCGGGAAGAGCAGCAGCTCCGGGACCGGACTTTTCAGCGGGACAACCAGGAGCAAGTGTACGGAGGGCTGCCCTGTCGCCATGGCAACAGAGACGCTTCCCTGTGTTCTCACAGGAGCGCGCAACCTCGCGAGATAAGGGAGGGAGGCTTCGGGCGTCTGCAGCCGCTCTCCGAAAATATAACCGAGTTCGTTCATTCCTTCTAGTCTGATGAATCCAGTTCCGAGTGGAAACCCACGTTAGTCTTCAAAAAAAATTCTGCAGGCTTCGGAAACATCCCCCTTCGGGGGCCTGGGGAAGTGGGGTGCCTCTGCAAGGGTCACTTTCTGCACAGGTGTAAAATCAACGGGATGTAGCCTCCGGGGAGATCTGGGGCTGCAATCCCAACCGTCTCTCTTGGGATTGCAGCCCCACATCTCCCAGCTTCTGGATCTGCTTCAACTAAGGAGTGACTATGAAAATGCAGTCATAGCTGTCAACTCCCCCCCCCCTTTTTAAAGGGAAATTCACTTATTCCGAATAGGATTCCTCGCAAGAAAAGGGAAAAGTTGACAGCTATGAATGCAGTTTTGCCCATCACACTACAACCCTCAATGTTTGTTCAGCGTTGGCAGCTAAAACTCTGCGGTTGCACGGATCAAAAGACCAGTTTCAGCGGCCCATGCGAGGTGGGTGGCTGTGTCTCCGAGAAACTCAGCTGCAATCCTAACACCTCTTACTCCTGAGTCAGTCTCATTGGATTCAACAGGACTTGTTGCGGAATAGATGTGGTTAGGATCGCAGCCGTGTGTGTGTCTTCCGTATTTCGGCCCCAACTTTGGGGCAAAGCGGCAAAATAATTAAAAACCAAAAAATGGCCGAAACTCAAACCATTGTTTTATTTTAAAAATTAAAAAAAAGACATTCCTCTGGGAGGTATTCGCTTGGCGGCCTTTTTCTGGCAGGAACTTCTGTCGTCTCATGGCTGAAAGCTTCCCCAGTGCTATGCATCGGGGCCAACAACAACAACTGAAACGCGGGGAAAATACGACGCGGGCTCCGAGCTGCCAACCCAAGGCCGAAAGGAGCGACGTCTGTAATGCCTGCGCTTCTGGGTGCTTTGCTGCATTCCCAATGCAGCCCGAGAAACACGCCGTTGTCAGGCAGAGCCCTGGCTTGTGGCGGGGGGGGGGGTCCCTCCAGCCGCTCGCCTGCTTCGCTTGGGGGCGAGCTAGAGAACGCGCTGAGCCGCCGGGGCGCCGCTCTTCGCCTCGGCGGCTCCTCGTCTCCGCGCGGAGGGAGAGGCAGAGCCAGCTAAACGCGCGCAAGGTGGTAGAGGGGGGTGTCTGCGGCCTGGCCGCGAGCGCCGCAAGGGCCGCCGGTCCATGGGCAGCCGAGCGGCGGGTGCGCGCGCGCGCGACCCCGGGGCCCGGACGTAAGATGGCGGCGGCGTTGGCGGGGGGTGGGGGGAGGAGGAGAAGGCGGAGGAGGGGGTGGTGGCTCCTGTGGCTGTCGCGAGGCTCGGGCTGTGGAAGCGGCGGGCAGTTGTGGCCGGGCTCGCAAGGCGGATAGAGCGAGCGGGGGCTCGGGCCTGGCGGGACCCGGGCCAGGGCGCCATGGGCTCCCAGGTGCTGCAGATTCTGCGCCAGGGGGTGTGGGCGGCTCTGAGCGGCGGCTGGTACCAGGACCCGCACCAGGGCGCCGGGGTCAACGCGCTGCACCTCTACCTGTGGCTCTTCCTGCTCGGCTTCCCCTTCACGCTGTACATGGTGAGTGAGGGGCCCGGCCTAACTCTCCTCGGTCCCTGCCTCTTCCCTTCGGGGGGGGGGTCTCCCTTCCCAGCCGGACTGCGCTGGCCAGCTGCCGCCCGACCCCCTCAGCCGCTCTCTCCCCTTCACCCCGCGTTTCCCCTTTATTTCCGAGGCTTTTTCTGCGAGGTGGAGGGTGGTTCTGTTCCACAGGTACCGCTGCCAGTCCGTTCAGATGGAGCGCTTGCATCTGGCGCGCCTGGAAATGTGAAATCGGCCGAACGGGGAGGCTGCTTCTCCTGCCACTTATAAACGTAAACAGAAAATGAGTAATGGAAATGTGACATCTGGCCCGTCGGGTGTAATGGCTCTTTGGTGGTTTCTCCCTTTTTTTGGGTTTTGGTTTTAATATACTGTAAGGGTTGATCCGCTGGTTTGGGGCCGCTTTATGCCGAACAGAATTTATGCACAAAAAGTGCTTTGTGTAAGTGTGGAGGTGATGCTCCGTCTCTTGTGTAAATAGTAGTGGGTGGCAGTTTTACACGTGGGATCCTCTTGCTGTGTGTCTTGTGCCCTCTGAATCCTCTACTGGCTGCAGCTTCTCAACATGTGTACACTGCCCTGCACGAAGCAGCAGAGAAAGGCCTGTGCATAAATCACACCATTGCACATCTTTGCTGTGATTGTTATCGTTGTGGTCCCTAAAAGTACAGAAACAGCTGGAAGGGAAATGTTACTGCTAATGTTGCAAAATATATCTGTGAGGTCGGGTAGAAGATGTTCTCTCTTGCACAGAGAATACCACAGCTGGAGTTCTGATAAATACCCAAAGGTTCAGGCCCTGGCTACTCTTTTTATCTTTGGTTGTGCTGATGTCTGTTGCTAAGTTTAACTTGTATAAATGTGAGTTAAAAGGCTGAAGTATAGAATGCATTTATGTATGCCTTTGGTGGAATGTTGTCCTGGTAATAACAAGTATAGGAACACTTGTCTTTCTTCTAATGTGGAGGGTCAGCACTTAACTATTGGGATAGGACAAAGATTGCACACAATTCTGAAAAGCTACGGCACTTTCTGCTAGTATGGTTTAAATTTGGAGCCATAACTTTTCAGATGTTTTTGGATTGCAACTCTTAGCCACTGGTCAGGGATGATGGGAATCATACTTGAGCAGTATCTGGAGGGCCACAGTTTCCCTTCCCCATGTATACTGTGAGTTAATACGTGGGATGAATTATGTGGGATAGCAGTGAATCAAATTCTCTTGCCATTTGATATTATATACATATTAAATTACTATTAACTTGGGTCCAGTCATATTAGCTTGTAGGCTATCTGTACAATGTCTGTCAAATCCATGGATGTGCAATAAATTTGACAAGTGCAGAGTTTGAGACTCTGCTGCCCAGTCCTGGCCCAGCTCCTTTGTCCCTTTATTCTACCTTAAGGCACTTGCCTCCATGATGTATGTTGCTAGTATGCAGGATGTTTCTGAGAATCTTTTTTTCTAAATGCTTGCCTGCTGACATAATGACACTAACATTCTGGTGCCACTTTTGGTAATATAGCTTTCAGGATCCAAAATAATTAACTGAGAGTGTTGTGGAGTAGAATGGGGAAATGGGCACCTCTAGCTAGGGCATTCATATAGTGATATTATTTCACCCCCACTTCCATCGATGACTTTATTTTGCCTACTATGCATGAGAATAATTTTTTTGTCAGTGTGGTGTTGCTGTGGCAACCAGACACTGATCACATTTCATTCCTGGTAAATTCAAGTAAACATACAAGGCAAAAGCTGACTTGTAAAAGATGTATGTGTGGTTCATCAAATGAGACTCCAGGGAGAACCCTGCATGAGCTTGCAACTATAGGAGAGCTCAGTGCAAGTGTCTACTTGTTTCATTAGCAATTACTGCAGTTTGACAGGAGAGTAAACTCCTTGCAATTAAAAAAGTATTGGGAAAGACGCCATGGCTATGGTTACATTTCTGAACTTCAGTCTTCTTGGCTTATTTCTTGTTATCACGTGTGTGGGGGAGGCTTTATCACATGATTGAAAGCAATATATTATTGGCAAGGAAATGGGAGACAGTGACAGCTCATGGCTTTCTATCCGAAGCTGTAATGTGTAATAGATGAGCAATCATAGTTTGCTTATGACTAAACATTTTCTAGCAAAAGCCATTTCTGAAAGTTGCCTTATCAGGCAAGTTGTCTTTCTGAAGGATAGCCAAGTGTAACTGGGATCCAGTACTCTTTTGTTTCTCTGGTAATACTACAGACCATTAGAAATCAAACTGGCATATTTGGAATATGTTTTGGGTTGATTTGTACATAATTTGATACATGTATTTGCCTCAGTATGTGCCCACTTGCAGTTAACTTGTGCCTGTTGTGTGTCTACATCTAAAAACTTTGTAGTAGCATAGTCGATGTGGGAAGGCTAGATGAGTGATACAAACATGCTGAAGCAATTGCACAACTGTTTTGTCAACCTTTGTACTTAACCACTCAAGACACAGGCTCACAGGTTGTGAGGGTTTACTGGTGTTGGGTGATCCTTAAGGAACTTTTGTGCGGCCTCCACACTCTTCTTAGCACCTCCCAGACTTAATGCTTCTTTAAAATGTGTTCTTTCTAGTTCTAGTGGAGAGAAGCATGAACCTCTAGAGTGGCATTTTGAAAGGCCTAATTAAGGGGAAAAGGAAGAACTCCTCCAAATGTGCTGTGTTTCTAAATCATCAGTTTCAGTGTGGTCATGGTTTAAGGGATGATATCATGAGCACGAGCATTTTGCAGTGACAGTGTTTCGATTTCTTTTTTAGCCTTTTATATAGCAAGAAGACACGTATCAGCTGTTGCTGGCTCATTGCCCACTTTGTAAATGCAAATTGTTCTTGGTGCCTCAGTAGGAAATGCAAAAGATGTTGTCTACTCTTCTCTTAAAACCTATTGTACATCATTGGAGAATGCTAACCCAAGCTACTGTGACTGTAGGAAGCTGCCTTACGCCATTAGATCATTGGTCTGTCTAGCTCAGTGGCTCTCCAGGGCTTCATATAGGGGTCTCTCCCAGCAAAGCATGTATTCTATCCCTGAGCTTCAGTACACTGCCCAGAACTGGAGTCTGCATGGGTAGGATATAGTTTGTAAAGGCCTGCTTTGCCAGGAGAAAAATATACAAGGTGATGGAATTGAGTTGACATTTCAGAGCTGTTGCTGGAGCAATGACTGTTTTAGAATCCTCTTTCTTCAGATGCATAAGAATAATTATTGTTAGTCTCTTGTGCAAATGAGGAAAAAGCAGGAAAATGACAATCTATTAGATTCTTTGGGGGGAAATAATTGTTGCATATAGATCAAATTAGTTGTAAGTTAAATGGTTTGAATCATTATTGTCTGTTTTAACTTTTTCATATTTTGCCATGTGTGTAGTCTAGACATATTTTAAATAGATAGAACCACTGTGGTCATCTCATTCCTTACTTTTTGAAGTGCTGTTTACTGTAGGCATTCTGGAGCTGTGCCCTTGAAGCAGTTGCACAATACAGAAATATTTACAGCACATTTTTGAGGTAACTGGAGTTGTTTAGGATGTGGTTTGTGACTGTGTACAGGATTGGTTAGCTTCAAAATTACAGTTTCTCATTTTTCAAGCACATTTCAGGGTAAATCCCCCTGCCCCAGTTGGCACAGTGGCATAGACCAATAGCAAGGGTTGGTGTGGGTTTCTTACAGCCCAAGCTCTGCCTTATTTGTAATAGACCCTTCCCACTATAATCGGCAGTTTTAGCCATGCCTGTCTTTTGCCATAAAGCCCTACTGTGTTGCTTATTGAGGGACATAATGAATGGGGCTAACTGCATGGGTGTGGCTATGTTGGCTGTTGCATAAGAAATATCCAGATGTGTGCCAGGAAGTGTTTCACCATTGTTGGTGTTTCAATTTGAGTCCTAAGCTTACGTATTTTTTCTTTCAAAAAGGGAGTTGTAGGGGGCAACCCTTTAACTAGAAGGAACAGTAGCAGGAACAATTTAGAGAATTCAGTACTCTCATCCGAAGTTTAGCTCACTTTGATTTGATTTAATATTTGCATTCCACTTTTCCAACAACAAATTTTGCGCTCAAAGTGGCTCACAGTAATCACAATAGCATGAGGAAAAACAGACTTCCATAATTGGGTGTAGATTCTGCTAATAACATGAAAAGCCTGAAAAACTGTACAAATGTGACTATAGATTTTTATACTTGATTGAAGAGCTTTGTCTGCATTATGAATTGACTGTGTGTCAGTGATGAATAGAATCTTACCTGTGTCCTAGTAGCAGTTCCTATTATGCAAATATGTGGGAACCAGTGTACTGCTATCAGCAGTTTTATAGCTGCATTGTACAGGTTACTTTGCTTCAAAGAATGACAAACGTTCCTGTAGAGTCATAATGTCACACATGGAGATGTATTGGTACAGAAATTCTTAATTAATCTCTAACTTGGCTGTCTTCGTTGCCATGTGCGGGCTGAGCAATTCTCAGCTTGTGTCCTCCCTTGTCCCCCCCCCCACCTGCTCATTTGCTACTGTTGGCCTTCCATATGAAGCAAAATATGCGTGTGTGTGTGTGTGTGTGTATACTGAGCCAGTTTTGTTTTGTTGGTTTGGTGTTTGCTTAGGGCTTTTTATGTGCCTTTACATAAGTGCACAAAATGCTGCATTAGTTCTGTACATTTCTGTAAGTCTAAAAAAGTTTTTGAAAGGACTATATTTGGAAGTGGCAGACAAGCAGAACTCTTGTCAACAGAGTGGTAAAAGGAAATTGCATCATGAAAGCCTGGAGGTACATTGTCGGTGTAGGGATAGATCTCTGCTATGCTAACATAAGGTTTGCTTTGAGTTCTGCCACCCAAAGAAATGCTCAGACCCTTAATGGGCATGTTAAAGCTTCTCCAAACTGTCTTATAAAAAGCCTAACAAATAACTCTGATATTTAGCACACACAAATGTGTTATGTTTAGAAATGCTGGTTGTGTTTTCCCTCCCCCATTGTCCATTTCACATCAGCTGTTGACTTGTTCCCAGGCTACACAGACATGATGATGTAAACACACACACACACACACACACACACACACACAGAATTCAGTTTACAGTACTTTAAATTTGGATGCAGACAGAGGAAGGGAGTTGGCAGGGCATGAGAGGAAATTGTGGTGTAAAACTGGGAAAGAATAAAAATGTGTAGGGAAAGTAAAGGACCTCTATTAATGCAGAACTTAATTTGCAGGTTTAAATGGCTGAAGTGGCAAACCGAAAATAGGAGTCTTTTGGGGACAGCCATCTTTTCTCCTCAAGAATGTCCCTGGGAATGATGCTACGTTATGACGTGGGGTCATTCCCAAGGGCATTCTGTTCCAGGAACGTGGCTAGAGCAGCTGCACCACTGCTTGAAGCAACAGCAAGGCTTTTATTAAAGTGAGAAGAGAGATCTCTTGGTGTATTTAAGGCAGACTTCCCCAACCAGGTGTTTTGGACCCCAGCCAGTATGGTCAGTGATCAGGGCTGATGGGAGTTGTAGTCTGGAGGACACCAGGTTGCGGAAGGCTGATTTCAGGGTAGCCTCATAAGATTAAAAATTCACCCTAAATTGCCAATTGTTCCTTCCAGTTTTGAAAGGGATATTCAGTCCAGAACTAGTAAAAAAAAAGGGGGGGAGCTTTATGTTTGTTTTTGGTGTATAATTCAAATTGCTAGGTGTTTCTGATAGAAAGGTGTGGTACAAATAACAGTAAAAGTACAGTACGAATGTATCTTGCATAGGGTTATGATCTGGGGATGGTTTGTATATGCAAAAACGCTTATACTTGAACCATCCCTGTGTGAACATCGTTACCTTTCTGGAGCCAGTGCGGTGATTGGGCCTTGCCCTCCCCCCCGCCCCCAAGCAAAGGAGACATCTCACAAGAGCATCCCAGAGTGTAGTAAGCAAGGCAAAACTTAGAGCAAAAAGAGCTTTGAAACTCTCTGCATTCCATGCATTTAATATGTGTGATTCCAAACAACTGGCCTTCAACCATGTAAGGTTGAAATCACATTAAATGTGTTTAAGAGGTGATTGTAGTAGTAATAGTTTGCCATTGTTTCCTGGAAAGCCCTATATGCAGCTTGGTACCCAGGCGTTTAAAGAACCATCTTTTCTCATGTGAAACCTGCAGTTCATCAGGGACTGCTTTAAAGGTTCCCTTCCCCTCTTTGGAGGTTTGATGGGTGGCGACCAAGGAGAAGGCCTGGTCTGGCTATGGAATAACTTCCCAGAGATGCTTGCAGGGCACTTGCTTTGTTTGCTTTGAAATTATTTGAATAAAGCTTTTTATCTGAGCATCGATACTGATTTTATTTTATATATAATAAATTGGTAATTGGAAAATCTTTAAGGTGCCATGTTTCCAGCAAAATACTAATACAGTGATCCCTTTGGAAACTGATTTTATTGTTGCTTCTGATGTTGGATTGCTGTTTGTGTTCTTCATATAATGTTTTTTCTTTCTTGTGCTTTCTTGAGTTTTATTGATAATTTGGAATTAAACTTGGCTAAGGAATAACTAATAACAAATATTGTGACAGAGGGAGAGTCTTTTAGATCTTTCCACACCAGCACATAATTTTATAAACCTGTAACACATTTTCCCTAGCTCATATTTCTTAAAACTAAATACCCATAAATATTTCATCTGTAGTGTCCCATAGATTGACAACCTGAATTGTGCACATTATTCCCAGTGTGATGCTGCCATGCATTTATGTCACTGTGTTACGATAGTGGCAGCTTTATTTCCAGTTGTGTTCCTAGTACTGTACGACGTTTGCCTTTTCACCTCCTCAGCATATTTAGCTGATGTCTTTAGTGAACTGTTCACTCTTGTTCCAAAGATCTTACTTGAGTAGCCATAACCAGCAACTTTTCCTTTCTCTCCCCTTTCAACTAACTCCCTCATCTTTAAAAGATTTTTTTTTCTTCAAAGAAGAAACTATGTAACTATGTTACTATGTCGAATGTCCAGACAATTTTCTTTTCACATATATGTTGAATTTGATACTGTCATGGGCCACTGTTTATCTGTATAAAACCCATCTTTAATCAGGTCTGATGAGTATTAAACTGGGTCAAAACCCCTCTTGTCAGGTCTATGACAAACACTTTTTCTCGAAGGTAAACTCGAGGGGTCTCTGATATACAGTGCTCCAAAAATAATTTAAAAAACAGAGATCAAACATTCAATTCTTAGACTCTGGGCTGAATAAATATTTTGGATTCCTAAGCATCCTGGCAACGACATACATGGGCTTTAAAAAAAATCCATGGCAACTTCGGTTTGACAACTTCAGTTTTGTTTATGAGCACTCTGAGGAACCTTTACCGTGTTGATTTGCATAATTAAAGGAGTTGCTGCATTTAAGTAGATATATCTCTGGGGGTGTTGAGGCAATTGGGTATTGCAGTGTTGTTTTCATCACCATGGTGCTTTAGGGCGGGGAGCGCTCAAGCTTGATCCAGTCTGGCAAGGTGAAGATGTTTCAATAAGTTATAAGGGGGCAGTCCTCCTAAGTCAGGGAAAGGGTTAATATGCAGGGGAGTCTAAGACTCAGAGCATTAAATTACTGGCGTGGTAAAGAGGTTGAATTATTAGTTACACATTTTAAAATGAAGGTTTAAGTCAAGGTACTCTTTGTGAATGAGAGATTGATGGCTGTTGGTGAAATCTCAATACAGAACATTAATCTATTAATAATAGATTTGCCAGAGCAATCTTGTTTACCAAAGAACTGATTCGCATGGCATGTTCAAGGCTTATGAGTAGCTTATATGGAAGTGCCTTTAAGCTTCACTTACTGGTGTGTCAACAGTATCCTTTTGGGAGTGATGCAACTGGAACTCTAAACCAGGGGTCAGCAAACTACGGTTCCCGGGCCGGATCAGGCCCACCTGGGTCCTAAATCTGGCTCGCACCATGAAGCTGGAACTCACCGTGAAGCTGAGACTCCTGGTGATGGCGATGGGAGGAAGAAGCCGAGAGGCGGTGTCTCTGCCAATCAAACACCGTGCCTGGTTTACTTCAGCAGAGTCATCCCCGTGCCTCGCTGAGGTAAACCAGGTGCGGTGTTTGATTGGCAGAGCCTCCGCCGCTCAGCCTCTTCCTCCCGTCGCCATCACCGCTGCCCTGGTGCTCCTATGGGCCAGAAAGTGGAGCGGACGAGCTCGCTCTGCCTATCCGCTTCACAAAAAGCAGCAGCAGTAGCAGCGGTGGTGGTGCGCAGCCCCTGGGAAGGTAAGCGCAGCACCTTCTTTCTCTAGGCGGGGAGGAAGCCCGTTTTGTGCCATCGCAGCCAGCCCTTCGGCAAATGAGGCAGGGGGCAAACTGAGAAGGTGGGTGGGGTGGGGAGGAGGACTACTTGCCCCCCTCGCAGTGTGCATTGGAATTCGTTGTTTTTTTTTTAAAAAAAATATATATAGCCCAGCCCTCCACAAGGTCTGAGGGACAGTGGACCGGCCCCCTGCGGAAAAAATTTGCTGACCCCTGCTCTAAACAGTATTCCCAGTGTGGCCACACCATAGATTCGTATAATGTTATTATAATATTGGCACTTTTATATTCAGTCCTTTGTCTAATGATCTCCAATAAGGGATTTTCCTCTTTCGCAGCTGTCACACACTGGGTCAACCCCAGCGTTCAAAACTCCCATTGTTATAGGCGTGGTTTGCAACAGGGAATTTCTTTAATGCGAGCAGTTTCTGAGCTTTGGGCGCAGTATTGCGCCCAAGATTTGAGATTAAAACTGCCTTTGCTAGAAGGAAAGGAGGACCTTTTTTCTGCCTCCCCACTTCCAGCCACTCTCTCAAGACTGGAGAAGAAACCCTCATAAGAACATTAGGAGGGCGGACAGGAGAAGTATGGCCTTTTTTGCAGTCTTCAGATGAGGACTAGACCACGTGAAAAATGAACATAAGATTTTAGCCGCAGTTTATTATTTTTCAGCTTTGTATTCTTGTTATAAAAAAGTGCGCCGGCCCTAAACACTCCATTGTGGTGCCCGTAACCTAGGTTTAAGGTACCATTTATCTCCTAGCTTTCTTATCTCAGTTTCTAACACCGGTCAACCCTGAACAATTTGGTATCATCAGCAAACTTGGCTACCTCACTGCTCATCTAATGATGGATCATTTAACTGCGGAACAGTCTCCCTCAGGAGATAGTGGACTCTCCTTCCTTGGAGGTTTTTAAGTAGCAATTGGATGGCCATCTGTCAAGAATGCTTTAGCTGAGTTTCCTGCAATGCAGGGGGCTGAACTAGATGACCCTCGGGGTCCCTTCCAACTAGTAAGATTCTAGATTCTATGAGCAATGTCAATCTCTGGGCAACTCCACGTTCTCTACACCTGTAGATATGTTACATATTTCTACACCACTTGATTTTTAAAAACTTCAAAGTGGTTTACAAAAGATAAAACAGTGAACAGTAGTTATGTTGAACAAATTTCAGTAATGTTTCCCCCCCCCCCATTGCAACATGGACATCTTTTTATTTGCAACATAGTATTGTTTAAAATATAATCACGGAAACTTATTCTCTCCAGTTTCTGCAGAGCACTAACATTTTTATTATTCAATTAAAATATTATTTATTATAAAGACATCTGAAGGCAGCCCTGTTTAGCGAAGTTTTTAATGTTTAATGCTGTATTGTGTTTTTAATATTTGGTTGGGAGCCGTCCAGAGTGGCTGGGGAAACCCAGCCAGATGGGCAGGATATAAATAAATAATTTATTATTATTATTATTATTATTATTATTATTCTCTTCATACCTTGCATGAATCTCCTGAATTGTCTGACTCATTTCTAGGCTTTCTAGCCTGTAAATTTGAAGGTACCTAACAGTAATTTGTGTGCTTCTATTCTCATATATATGGGATGCGGGTGGCGCTGTGGGTTAAACCACAGAGCCTAGGACTTGCCAATCAGAAGGTTGGTGGTTCGAATCCCCGCAATGGGGTGAGCTCCCGTTGCTCGGTCCCTGCTCCTGCCAACCTAGCAGTTCGAAAGCACGTCAAAGTGCAAGTAGATAAATAGGTATCGCTCTGGCGGGAAGGTAAACGGTGTTTCTGTGTGCTGCTCTGGTTCGCCAGAAGTGGCTTAGTCATGCTGGCCACATGACCCAGAAGCTGTACGCCGGCTCCCTCGACCAATAAAGCGAGATGAGTGCCGCAACCCCAGAGTCGGCCATGATTGGACCTAATGGTCAGGGGTCCCTTTACCTTTTTATTCTCATATACAGTAGTACCTCCGGTTAAGTAACCCTCTGGTTACTTAAACTTCGGGATGCGAAAGTGGCAAACCTGAAAGCATATTACCGGGTTTTGCCGTGCATGCATGCACAGAAGCGGTCTACCGCCGCATGCGCAGCAGTCCTCGGGTTGCAGAAACCTCGGGATCCGATCGGACCTCCAGAATGGATCCCGTCTGCAACCGGAGGTACCACTGTACACCTATACTGAATAAATATGCAAGGCAGTGATCTGCAATTTTTGACTGGCTTTGCTAACCAAGCCACCAATTGTGCCTGTCAGGTTCCTCCCTCCTTCCCTGTTCTGATTTGGACCACTGTCACTGAGCATTGGTTGAGGAAGTTCCCCCCTGTAGAAAAGAGAGCTTGGCCTATGATCTTGGCTGTTGCTGGGCAGTACAACTTGAAGTGCTGCTGTTGAAAAATAAGCCCATCATCACCCTTCCCTAACTCAGAGCAGGAAAAGGGGGAAGCTGCTTACTGTGTAGCAGAGGTACATGTAATTATAAAGGTGCAAATATGACCTTGGTGGAGAAACAGCAATGTTTAGTAGTGGCTCAGAACTCTTTAAGGGCTTTGTTATTGATGAAAAGATTTATTTGATGCACCAGTATGTGCTCGAACTTTTTATATACAGACATTCAATAGTTTTTACTGATCCTTTAAAAATCAAGACTATGGCTCATTTTAAACACAGAAATGACTGCTAGGTCTGTAGAATTCTATGTCCCTTTGTGACTGTACAGAATCTGAAAAGTTTTGTAATGATACCTTATATATGGCTATAACACTGCAGTAGATCATAGTGGTCCAGATGTGTAGCCTAGAATAGGTCTGCACTAAAGCCTAATTGGGCTGCTTTGTTGAGCGAGATGAATTGTTCCAATGTTTAATGTGGCTGGAAGCTTGTCCAGTTGCTGCATCTTCAGAAACCTACAAAGTACAAAGATAAAATGAGGCAATCATTATATTAAAATTTCTTAAACATGTTCAATTATGATAGCTTGATCTTCTCTTCTTTTCCACCCACTTATTATTAAACTCTCTTTGCCAGTGGAATGTTTAATTGGTTATGTTTTCTTACACTTTTATTTATTGCTATATTCTTAGTTGTGTGTGTAACAAGACAAAAAAAACCTTTAACCTGCTGATGATTTCAAGATTTCTGATTTGTACACATCTGTTAATTGGGCTAGAGAAGTACTTTTTTCAGAATAATGTGAATTTTGAAGTTTAATAACACTTAGCTACCTTCATTTAAACAGCAAACTTTATTTAAAACAGGTATATTTTAAATTTCAGGGAGGTATACAGTATAAAACCAATACAATAAATGCAAAAGCAAGTAACAGATAAAATATTTGGCTGATATGCTAATCTCTAGAGTTGAAGTAAAAGCTGCTTTTTTTTGGAAAAATGGTTAATTGATGATAGCACTGTCGGAACCAAGTAGACTATACATTCCATTACTGGGATGCCATGCCAAGAAAGCCTTGAAAATGATTGTTATTTTTCTGGTGGAAGAGGTAAATGGAGAAGAGCCACAGCAGATGAATTTAGAGTATGAGTATGTTGAGATGGGAAAAAGTACTGCTCCAGTAAGGGGGCAGCAATATGTTGTTATTAAATTTTTATACAGTACTGCCCATCTTCAGAAGATCATAGGGTGGTTCATAACAAAAAAATTCAAAATGAGAACTCAAAATACATAATAAAAAACAAAAACAAACTAATGATCCGCTCCCCCAAACACATTTAAGAGGTCATACAATATTTAATCAGCCAAAGGCCTGGTTGTAGCAAAACAGTAAGTTAAGGCTACATCTAGACAATCAGTTGTTTATATCTAAGGGAGTCAAATATTTTGAAGGGAAAGATAAAAGAATAAAAAGTAATTGTACTGAGTAAAACTGTGGTTGAGACTATCAGTTAAATGCATTATATAAAATATCCATTGTGAACCATTCATCAAACACTCCTGCAAATAACCTTTTCATTATATTCAACACTGTATAAATGGAGAGTGCAAATTCTATTTTTAACAGTAGTAATTCAGAAGCCCACTTTCCTCTAATGCATATTTTCTTGCCAAATGGTCTCTATGCCAAGTCATTTCCCTTTTATAAGGCTTCCTAAAATATACTTCCCACATTCTCTGTCCTTCCAAGATAGTATGGGGCTGGGCCAGGGCCGGGCCGTGCAGCATCCTTATCTAAAATCAAGCTTGGTCAATGGATCTGTGGTCAGTGTTGCATCCTGCTCTTTGCTGTGTTGGAAGGAGTTTCTAGCACCTGAGCATGCTGTCACAAGAGGCTTCGTATGTGAAGTCTCAGGTGCTGGGGTTCCCAGTTGGGGCCATGGAATCCTTGACACTAGCACATTTTTTCTTTATGTAGCTATGAACTTGGAGTCATATTGGAGTCTGAGGGCTTTTGAATCATGAATGGATGGTTGAAACGGATGACCTTTAGAGTAGAATAGATCTGATGTATGGAGCAAGCTGGATAGTTGAAGAAAACGGAAAATTAATTGGGTATCTAGACTCATAGAACTGTGAGGAATGTAGAAGAAGAAGAAGAAGAGTTTGGATTTGATATCCCGCCTTTCACTCCCTTTAAGGAGTCTCAAAGCGGCTAACATTCTCCTTTCCCTTCCTCCCCCACAACAAACACTCTGTGAGGTGAGTGGGGCTGAGAGACTTCAGAGAAGTGTGACTGGCCCAAGGTCACCCAGCAGCTGCATGTGGAGGAGCGGGGAAGCGAACCTGGTTCCCCAGATTACGTGACTCTTAACCACTACACCACACTGGCTCTACACCAAGAGCTTGATAAAAGAGGCTGGATCTGTGCAGTGGACAGGGGACGTTGCTGGA